ACTCCACTTATTCTAATTAGAAGACTAGATTTCGCAAACATTTGTGCTGTATATTGAAATATTATGGAGATTATATTCCAAACCGCATAAGATCTTTACCGCTAGTATAAAACTAAATCTTGCGGGTGTGCTGGTGGACAATAGAAATCAATGACAAGATAATGGTGTTGAGAATGAGGTAAAGCCACAAGAATTTTCTGGATTTTGCAGAATTCATTAAGTAACTTCAAATTTTCAAGACTCTTCTTTGATCGCAATAATTCCATATTCCATTAAACATAGTCATCTGTGAAGACTATTCAGCTCAATGTGTCATGATGCAGCATGTATCACAAAGCTTAATAATAAAAATGGAGGTATATTTTCGGGTTGTGTTTGGAAGTCAGACACGAGCTACACCTTAAAATATAACTTTCTTTCCAATTAACCGATCATTAGTTTAAATTATATTTTAAAACACTAATGGAAACAAATTGTAATTTCAATTTGATTTCAAATGCCATCGGAAAATAAGTGACTGACCCATTGAGAAAAAAATCGAATTTCGCTCCTTATTACAGGTTAAACGTTTATTTGAGCACGAAAGTGAATGTATCCATTGAAACATCAAGATGTGTCACATCTAATTTTATTACAACATAATATCAGTTATGAGTCGCTGAAGAAATCACCAATTTTAAAACAAAATGAATAAATGCATTCTCGCATGAGACAAAAGCCATGATCGCATTTAGACTGAACGAAGTGTGTAAAATTCTAGTTTCCTTTTAGGCATCGTGAGTATATGTAATGACTGAAATATTATTATTTTCAAGCAAGGTCATCATTACTTAATATTTGATAAAGAAAATATGTGCAAGGAAATGAGTAAATTTTAAAAACATTACGCAAATGATTGTAGCATCTGGTTTGAAATGCCATTTATCAAATGTTTCGTAACTCGAGAAGAATGATTTATTGATACATCACTGTTCTCCGTCCACACGCGCAACCTGCCATAGCCCTGCGGAAGATCGTTGCCCCAATAGCACCGGAAGGTCCCAGGTTCCAATGGTGGCGGATTCTGAATTCTAGATACACAGCTGGGTGGAATTCAGCCACTGTACAGTAAAAGTGGAGTTCGAGAGGCCGGCTGCTCTAATTGATAGCTTTCGGTTGTTTCTTCGATCAATAGCAGGTGAATGTCGAAGCAGTAGCTTAACAAACGAGTCTTCAACCGCCCGCGATCTTCTTTTTCTCATTGTTGTCTCCTCCTCTTCCTTCTCACACACTCTCGCATTTGCTTGCTCCACACTACCACCGCACATATTAAGAGACAAATCTGTAATTTAGATCTGGTCATGGTTGATGGAGATATGGGGAGGGGGAAACCACCGCTAGTCGACGTGTAGGTTGGTGTCGATTTTCAAGGTCGAACAAAAGAGTAACTCCGCCGCGAGTAACTTGCACTACACTTACGGATTTGATGAAGCGAGTTATTGACGTACCCACAATGAGTGAATGCTAGTTCACTCGCTCAGTTCTCACGTGGTTATAACGATATTAGAATGAAATAAAAACGTTTCGTGTTTCTAACCGCAGAGTATCCACACGGCGCCTTTGATGAGTTGTTTGTTCTGTTCACAAATTGTCCCTTGACACAGATGATTCAACGTCTGAGGTATGGCTAATTCTGGATGTAACCTTCAAATGAAACACAATTCAAAAATATTTTTTCTTGTTTCTTGTAACACTCATTATCCATCGCAGTGAAGTGAATTGATCTGTGAAGTCATTCGATAGCATTTTCATTTATATTAAACACTGATAAGTGCTTTTAAGGAATATTGAGTAATTATTGGTATTATGCATCAAGGAAATTCATCTCAAATGCGTCGTCGATCTACTTGGATTCATTTTACAAGTTAATGATATCATCTTTCACGTTGCTTCTGAATTAGCTTTCTCGCAACCTTGCATAGTAATTTTTATTGTATTGACTTTAAAACATAAAATTAGTTTTTTCTTCGTCAGCTTCGTCCAGGAAGTTTATGACATGCTAATTTAAGTTTCTTGGCATTTTCAATAATGTTAATGCGTTATTTACAATTAATCAATCAAATCAGAGCATTCTTGCCAAACTACAACCTCATGTGCTCAAAATATGGTCCATAGATGTAGATGCTCGATTTAAATTGGATACTCACTAACGTATTCATATTTATTAAGCGTAAGACTATTTGGTAGATGTGTGCTGTCATAACGTTTCGGGAAAACTTACTTTTACACATCTTTCCAAGTTTCGTCGATTACATGATTGGAGTGTATCATCATGGTCGTGTTCGTATATTCCGAAGCGAGTCCCAAATTCTCTTTTGCATCCTTTTGAATCTATCACATTCACATTTCTCAAGTCTTACTTCCAGTGAGAAATTTATCTGTAATTTTCGTATCAACACAGTGACCTTCGCAAACCGGTGATAAAAAACTATTAAAAACTGGCACAGCACTATCCAATACAGTGAAATTGGAGAATTGACTTTTTTCACTAACGGTGCAATTTGTATCATTCAAGAAAGTATTTCGATAAAACTCATTTTGCGTCGTTATCGGGAGGGTCAATAAAGAGGAGGTGAAGCCAGTAAGTTGCTCCATGACTTCGAATCACAAGGAAGTCCATAGGACACTATTTTTAATTTGAAATATTTACATTTATTCTTTTTCCTTGATCTTTGACATGGCCTTGACAGAATAAAATTAAACGTGGCGACAAAACGTTGCCTGCAACAACTAATTTTATCAAATGCTGATTCCTATCAATAAACCATTTAAAAAACGACCCTCACTAATAACTCCTTACCATTTTACGAGTAATATCGAAGTGTTTACTATTTTTTATTGGGCCCACGTACTACCTTCTGTGTACCGCGACTCGTTTTTTCTCACGGCGGCTCTGTCGAGGTGTGTGAGATACAGAAATAACACAAGTATCTTGTACATCATCATTGTATTGACATTTCACTTCCAAAACTTTGCTTGGTATAAATAATTTTGTGTAGAGTCTGGAAAATATGTGCTTAATAATTTATGTTAGTGTATTAGTAAACATAGTGTTTAAATTTAATGTAGAAATTAGAAGCGACGTAGAGTTACTGCTAGGGATTACTTTCATGAAGTGTTGTTGTATATTAATAATAACAATAATACAAACAAAAACAATAATATAATAATGATAAATAGTAAAATGTGTTTCCAAAATATTATTTATTCAATTTTGTTTTGTGCAAATATCTCCGCACCCAATGAACAAAAGCCAGACCACGATAGAGAGTATTTACACTCTCGCGTATTAAAAAGCAAAAGCACCTGCAGCATGATCCTCAAAATTCAAGGTCACGAACTGTCAACAGAGTGTTCTCAGTGGCATTAATAAAGAGTTGGAGCAAATATATCTTCGTTGCAAACCACAAAGACAGGCCAACTTTAGTTACTGGAATGAATGGAGTTTGTTTGAAATCTTTCTACTGTATTCACAAGTATTCACTTCTTAATACGGATAACACAGAGGCGATAAAACGTTAATTAATCCGTTTTCGGAATTAAAAGTAGTATGACTACTCTCTCAGATCCTCTTCACTCTCTGTGGTGTACATATGTAAGCTTACAGGAATGTGACGTCTGTTCTAACGGCCAACGTTCTCCGTCCATTACGAAGAAATTTGATACATCACTTGAAACGATATGAATTGCTGAATTGTTGACCACAAGAAAGGGAAAAAATAAAAATTCGGCTTCATTTAACAGAAGCACGTAGGAATAAATAAAAAAACAATTAAAATTTAAAAAATAACAAAAACAGCAAACACAAAAAAGACGAAAATTGTGGCGAAAACTTGTGAAGTAAACACCATATAAAGCAAATAAACTTGTAGGCACAGCAATCAAAGCCATTGATCTTTCAGGGACAAAACTCTTTGAGTTCAACACTATTGGAAAATTGAGAATCTTTTAGGGAAAAAATAGTCTATTCAATAGTTCTTTTAAGTGGGATCTTCCTACTGTTTATACTTTTGGAGCCAAGAATTACGGCCTATATAATAGTACAAACGACTAAAGCCTCCAGGACCGTGTAAGAAGCTCTTGCTAATATTGAAATGGCCAAAATAGAAATACCACCAAAAATAGGATTAAAAATCCAGGATTTTCTAACAGTTAAGTTAGCTGCACTTCAGACTGATATCGTGACGGAAAGAAGATAATTTTGTGAAGGCAAGGAAACATAAATAAAGTAAATAACAGAAATAAGAGCCCCAAAGAAGAAATCAACATTAAGAGAGAACAGTGGAGTAGTAAGTTACTGAAGGTTTAATACCATTATACATGTAATTCGTGTAAAAAAATGATGAATAAAAATTACTGGAGTGTATTCTACCGTTCCGGAAGTAAACTCCTAACGATTGCGTTCTTAATATTACTACTCACAGTCGAGGGCCACTGGAAACTTGTATTATTACATTTTTATTAAAACTATTATCGTATCTAATACTTTGCCGATTCCTTACGAAGTAGTAGCAAAGATTCCAATCAGGGAACAACAACACAAACCATGGCAATCCATAGTTTTGAGAATTTGTGTTTAATGTATGTGACTGATATGAAATGACATGTACACACTAAAAACAATATTATTTTAAAGATTTTTAGAAGCAATTGTGCAATATTTTTCTCATTGCTAACTTCATTGGAAGTCAGCGTCTACATTAAATTAACTTAATTATTTTCCTTTTCTTTCGGACAAAATGTACTGCACGAATTTTGTTTTAAGTTAGAACTAGTGCGTTGGATAAACACACCTTTACCAACTTGCACATGCGTAGCAAAGAGTCAAAAATGTTAAAAATTGAAAGAGATTTATATCGCGTTGTCATTTTCTGTGTTTGTCGGTAGTGAACCGATTCCTTGACGTGAGTCGCGATAAGGGACTGTAGCCTTTTGATTTTCGAAGAGCTGCGCGCACTTACTGTGCTTGAAGAGAATGCGTCCCTCGGGGGCTGCCGGGGGCGGCTCGATGGTGAGCAGCGCGCCGCCGCCCTCGGCCAGCGCGCGAGGCGACAGCCGCAGCACCGCACCGTCCATTATGGCGGACGGCAGCTGCAGGCGCAGGTCGTGCAGATGCAGGAAGCGCTCGCCCTTGTCCATGAGGGCGTCCGTCACGTCCTCGAACGACCCCACGGCCCTCCCCTCACTACCCACCCCCTCGTTGAGGCCGCGCTCGTACTTGTTCTCCCACACGCGGTGGTTGCGTTCGAACACCACGCCGTCCGTGAGCGTCACGTTGCCGCTGGAGCTGACCGTGCGGTCCAGGTACTTCAACACGTTCTTCTTGACGCACGCCAGCTCCACCGACGCTCCGCACTCGACGATCAGATCGCGCCACAGGGCGTTGTCCCCGAAACCGGACGCGTTGCGAAACAGATCGTCCGTGGACGCGGCTCCCGACACGGCCGCCGCCACCAGCGAGTCCACAAACCGCCTCGCCGGGGTCATTTCATCGCGGTCCTGGGCCGTGCCCAGTCTGTTGATTTCGTCGTCCACTAGGCGTTCCGTAGGGTCCTGATCCTGCGCGGCGGCGACGGCGAGCACCACCAGGAAGCACGCGAGGGCCAAGGACCCGCCGCGGGGCAGCACGCGAGGGGTGGCGAACATGGCGGCGACGCGTCGGCTCTGGAAGAAAGTGAGGTTAGGAGCGGCGGCGCGGGTGCTGGCGCATCGCGGGGCGTCGGCGGCCGGGCGCGCGGCGAGGGCGGTTGTGGTGGGTGATGCCGGGCGATGGCGGGCGTCGAGCAGGCACTCGCGGCGACGGCGCGGGGCTGAATGAGCGTCGCCGGTAGCGGCGGCCGAGCGCCGACGAAAGGGGCACACGTTTTGAGGTTAGGCTGGTTTTTGACGGCGGCGCCAGGGAGCGCGCGCGCCGCGCCGCCAAGAAAGAAAGGGAGATCCGGCAGCCGGCGAAGCGACGCGACGCGACGTGCGGGCGCGAGGCAGGTGGGAGGGGCCCGGGACGCGGTGATTCAAGCGGTGCGTCTGACCGGCGCTTTGCCGGCGCACGCTCGCCTTCGTAAGGCCTCGCGAGATGGATTAAATTTGCCGCAACAAAAGGGGTTTCGAAAAGTCTGAAATAATGAGTTATCTTCTATACATTTTTGTACGTCTAGTAATGAATATGAATATGTGAGTGTCCTTGATACTTCACCAATCTGAGAGTACTGTTTTTTAATAAAATAAATTTAAAACTTGGTATACAATATTCAATTTCAACCAATCTGATCATGATTAACTGTATTTTTGCATTTCTTAAGCTTTAAGTAACATTCAATTTCTTAAAATAACTGTAACTCTATTGATAGTCCAATTTTTTTTTCGAAATTAGGGCAATATTTAGACTAATAAATGCATGCTGCTCACCATACAGAAATGTGTGTGAAAATAATTTGTCAATAATATTGTGGTTTTTTACAGTTTCAAGGACGCGCTAAATACGGTTTTTATGTGGTACATTAAAATGGAAAGATAGGTCTTGAGAAATATAACATGGTTTTGACGAAGTATTTTATTTATATTAATCCCACATTTGTATAGGTTTCTCAATCATTAGATTCTACCGGGTGTATATGGTACAATTTCTGTGTTACTGTGATGTAACGCTGTGTTTTTAATTCCATGTGATGATGGTAGAAACCATAACTATTTTCATGTTCACTTGTTGTCAGTTTGTAGTTTAATCGCAGATCCAAAAAATTGTTATAACTGAGGAACATATTCTTATATTTTTAAAATATGGTTTATAAAAGAATGTGAAACTAACAATGCGAATACACTTTCGCGTTGAGGAAAACAATTATACCTTTTCCAAACAAGAGTGTAAGCTAATTCCGAGTCAACGTTTCTGTATTGAATGAAAGAGTAATAATTAGATAGTAAGAACACTAATAAACATCTACGTATCCATTTTTTCTTTTTATAAAGAAAAGAAAAGAAAATATTTCAACCAGTTTCGCACAATATGCCTCACAAAATCTCACAGTTAGAAATTATTTGCTTTTGAAGACCAAAGTCACAAGAAAAATTGCTGCTCCAGAAGGCCTCACGCTTGCATATTTATGTACAAATAGAGATGTGTAAGAATAATGAAATATTTCTTCTAAATTCTTTAAGAACACAGAAAATTGGAAACTTGATACAAATGGAACTTAAATTATTTTTTCGTATTAAAGTTTGTTAACAATTTATGCTAATTTCAGCTATTTTCACGCAAACGTGTCCCAATTTGATGTTCGTGGAACGTAGAAAATAGGTAAATGTTTCACTAGCTTTCTTATAAAACTTTATTTTTTATCATCAATATTACTTAAACGAAAATATAGATAATTGAGTTCGTTGAAATGTTTTCGAAAATATTGATTTCTGAAGATATCTCACTAATTTACCAACCTTGAGATAAATGTTGACAAAGAAAATCTGGAAGTGTAGATTTTAAAAGCACACATGGCTTTTAGAAATAGTGAATCTTCAAAGCCAATTAGTCAAAGATTACTTCCAAGTTTAGCATTAAGCATTGATAAACATGAGGTTACTGTTGACATGTGCATTAAAAAAAATGTTCCTTAGAGCATGTAGAAATAGAAATTGTTTTGCGTAAACTTGTAGCAAGATTGAAATTCCAATAGTTAATAGTACATAATCTTCCCTCAGCGGGAGAACTATTACAACTCTGGACTATTTACAACCTTGAGAAAAATTGTTGACAAAAGAAATCTGAAGCGTGTAGGATTTTAAAAGCACACATGCTTTAGAAATAGTGAATCTTCAAAGCCAATATCAAAGATTACCTTCCAAGTGTAGATTAAGCTTTTGATAAAAACATGAGGTTACAAATGGTTGACATGTGCATTAAAAAATGTCCTAGAGCACGTAAAATTAGAAATTTGTTTGCTAAACTTGTTAGAATATTGAAATTCCAATTAGTTTAAATAGTACATATCTCCCTCAGCGGAGGAAGAACTAATTTTACAACTCTGACTATTTACAACCTTGAGAAAAAATGTTGACAAGAAATCTGGAAGTGTAGATTTTAAAAGCACATCCATGCTTTTTAGAAAGATAGTGAATCTTCAAAGCCAAGTAGTCAAAGATTACTTCCAAGTGTAGAGTTAAGCATGATAAACATGAGGTTACTGCTTGACATCAAAAATGGCTGCATTAAAAAAATGTTCCTTAGAGCATGTGGAGAAATTAAGAAATTGTTTTGCTAAACTTGCTAGAAGATTGAAATTCCAATAGTTTAAATAGTAACCATATCTCCCTCAGCGGAGAATGAGCACAAGCTATCTGCCCCAGCTATCTCTGGAGCTTGCTTGGCTGTGTAGTGCATGGTTTGTCTAAGATGACAAAAGGGAGGAAGGATGAGAAAAGAATGGTCACATGTGTCCATGCCCGTCTGTTGTGGTCCTTCTCCTATACTGCAAAAGAATGTAGGCAAAACTATCGCACAGATAAGCCGAACCGCTAGAATTCCCCTGCAGACAATTAGTAATCGACCTTGCCTATAATAGATAGAGAGCTCTCGGTGGCCGTTGCGTGAGCGTGCGGCTATCCACGGCGCGAAACTCGGGTTCGATTACCATTGGAGCAACATTGATAAGTGTGCGCTTTTCTTATTAGTATTAGTTGCGTGGATATTGAGAAAGACCTGAGAGGATTTCTCCTTTAACCCTAGGTTAAGAAGGACCAGAGTATATACGGGTGAAGGGATGCCTTCGTGCTAACCACAACGAACCCTTCATACCATAGCCGAGAGGCTGGACCACCGCTTGGACGGCCAAGGCCCGTGTAGGGCTTTGAGCCAAAGGATAGACAACATACCTAGAGTCAAACTGACACCAACGAGACTCGAAAACATAGGACTTTCCGGTCAGAGCCGATGCACAGTTAACAACAAATGGCTTGCTTTTGGGGTAGAAGGGCACGTTCAGAGGAAGCAGGTCAAGATCAGCCAAAAGAGGACTAGAGCAAATTTAAACGCTGTTGAGGCAAAATCAAAACAAGGCAAAGAAGAAATACATAATAAGGACTAGAGGGGGTTGAATAGGCAATGAATTAATGACTGCCTTACGGGAAATTGATTGATTTGTTGTAATAGACGGAATGCTCTCGTATTTGCAATTATTGTATTGATGTCTCCTGGGGCATACATTCTTTCACATTTATTATTCTTTATTCGGCGCTCCTGAATAGTTTTTACATTTTTCTTTTCAAACTTCTTTGTTACTTTCCAATCAGATGATACAGATATATTTCAGGTTAATTTGAAATTACTCATTATGAAAATATGTAAAGTGTGTTATTGAATAGAATTCCATTTGATAAAATGTTTATGTACAAAATATAAAATGTTTATCTGTCGTAATTCAAGAAGTTAAGACATAACATTTAAAAAGCGAACACCTATGCAATACAAATGAAACTTGCAGTTCTGTAACTTTTAGTTACGTAACTCATTTCGACAAGTAAGTACTGTAAATATTTAAAACAATTTAAAAATAGTACTTATTTGGTTTTACTTTATTTAGAACCGTAATTTTGTTACATAAACAAACAATACGGCCACATAAATAAAAATTGTGTTATTTTATGTAATAAACGTTAATTCTCAAATTTTGAATTACAAAGATTAATTGTTCAAGAAAAAAATATGTTGAATAATTATTTCCAATGTGTTTATTATTTCTATCTAGTACCTTTAAAATAATGAAATAATAAAATTGAAGTATTATAGTCATAGATTTTTTCTCTTTCCTTTACATAGTACTTTTGCATAAGATGATGTTTGGCACTTAAAAAGCAAATTCTTTTTTTTCACAACTAAAACCTTCCTTCAAAACTTCGGTTCTCACTTCGAGTCTTTCATGAAAAAAAAATTCTTTACTTTCTTTTAGCCTAAACTTCTGTTATTGTCACTTTAAATTCGTTTCGTAAAAACTTTCTAGTAATGAAGCTCTTTCACTATTAAATAATATATAATATACGAAGTGGAGAATGGAGAGAAGATTTAGAAATAAAGCGCGGTGGCATAAATATCTAGAGCCTTTGTTAAGGAAGGTTTGAGAGGGACACAAAAGGTAGGAAAGGGGAAGCAGGGGGTTTACGGGTGGAGAAGAAAGTCCTTTGTGCAGAATCTCCTTTGTAATACTTTGTGGTGAGGTACGATATGCCTCATTTTATACACTTTGCGAAGAACTTTCCGGATATATTGCGGAGACCGTACAAAGTTTTACTAGCAAGAATTTTCACTGTTTTTTTATTAATAGAAGAATATAGTTTCTACCGAAAAAGCAAAGGACAAAAATAGCAGTCCTTAAGCAATTAAAGCTTTGAACTAGTTGTAAAATATGTAAGGTTTTTAAACATGTGGAAATATAACGTTTAGTATTCATTTAATTCAAAGATTATTTTGTTACAATGAATTTATTCTGAATGACTAAAATGGAGAACAGTTTGTAAGGAGGTTTTTGTTGCACACAGGCCTTAAAAAAAGAATGGTTTTATTCGTCGACACATCAAGATGTTTCTTTAGAATATATATCATACAAACCGGTCAGGTGGACGAAATCGTTAGGGTAATAGTGCCGTAGTGGTCTCGAACCGGA